CCAGATTTTCCTTTGTTTTCTATATCTGATCCACGTCTCTTTTTCTCCTTTGACTTTGCGGGGTTCTTTTGCTTACTTGAATTCGATTCTTAGTTTTTTTATTTGATCGTAGAAAAAAGTTTTGGAGAGAAATCGGGTTACTGATAATCAAGAAATGAGAGACTTTGAGAACAACAATAAAGCAATGAATAAGTATATATTTCAGTATAATCTCAATGATATTTCGTGTCCTACATATGTTGAGACCTTCCCCTTTTATAGTTAATTCTAGGAGAAAGTGTAATGCCTTTGTCTTAATGAGGCAATTATGAGCAATAAATGACATTAAAAGAAACGTTACTCAATCATTCCTATTAAATACAAATTCTCTCAACGTATTTGGCATTTAATGTTGAATTTGGACTCCTTTACGCTATCAGATTCATTTCTTCAATTCCTTCCGATCTTCGAGCTTTAAATGACTCGAACAGGTACGAGTCTCATTTCATTTGAATAATAGCTCGTGCCTTTAAGTATCTTCTCTCTCGCATCTGTTGTTGCTCGTGCCTTCTAACTGATTACCACGCTTTGACTATTTGACCGGTCCACGTGTCATGACACATCATCTTATATAAATTCAGTTTTTTCTCAATACACGTTTGACTTATAATGCTTGCGCAATGAGTCACTAGTAGGTCCAATCAAACTAATAAATTGGAGTATTCATTTTAACAAGCAAAATTGAAATTTTCCCTTTTTTCGTACAAGTATGTGTAATAATAACCCTCGAATATTCTAGGAATAAAATATGTAGTAAACAAAAAACGAAAATTAATTAAAAAGAACAACCTAACTTAAGTGTAATGACTTTTCAAAACCCTAGTGGGTCTCTTAAGTGTCTATAAATAAGTGAAATAGCATATGTAATTTGGTCACAACCCAAAAAGCCACAAAAACAAAACACAATAATTTTAAGACTTTGATGGCTGGCCTTCAATACAACTTCTTCCCAACAGATTTCTTTTTCCCAGCTCAGAAAACAGTGAATGGAGACAACATATCTCAGCAGAATCTCTTAATCAAGACTAGAAAGAGTGATGAATCTTTAGATGATTCAAAACCGCAGGGCAAAACTGTTAACAAGACTCTCAAAGCCATTTCTTCTTCGTCTTCTTCACTTGCTTTGGTTCCTATCCCAAAACAGAAGCAAAATCAAGATCAAATTATCTGAAATCCTACGAAAAGAAGTCTTAAAATCATATATACGTATTCTTTCCTGTTTGCTCTCTCTTCTTCTATTTTTTGTTTGACTATTATATAAATATATTTAGGAGGCAATCGAATAATGAAAAAACAGTCGTTTCTATCTGTTTCATGGCTTTATTTGTTTTTCCTTTTCCGGGTATAATTATTGGATTATCACTCATCTAATAATGTTAAAATATCATTGAGGAAATAAGAGGCATGAATGGTAAAAGGAAAATGGAGATCCATAAGGTTCTGATTATGGAGTACTTGATTTTGATATTCTGATTATGGAGTACTTGATTTTGATATTAAGTCAGATTTTTTTTTTTTTTTTTTTTTTTTGTGGGGAGAGAAAGATCCAAAATCTGTGCTTAATTATAGTATCTCCATTACTCTTTTGGTGTGATGCTCTTGTCATTAGCAAATTTGAAGTTTCAGCTTGATATTAGTAAACTCAACATGTTCAAATTCTTCAAGAAAAAATATCCAATTTTATTCCCCAACTATGTATTATGAAAATTATCCTTAAGTTTGAGCTCCCGTGGATGTAAGGGCGAAAACAAGACGTTTTCTTACCGTAGAGTAATATATTAGATAAAATGGTTTTAAAAAATGACGAAGTTGCTCAATTTCTGACATAGGAAGGCAAATCTAATCTTTATTTCCTGTTAAATTTTCGAAGTTCACATCCTTATTGGTCAATTAGGATGGCTTTCTGATGAAAATAAAATAACATGTTAAAAATTATAAAACGTGGAAAAGGAAAATAATTTAAAAAAAAAACAAACAAATAAAATTTGAGGCAAGCATAGCTAGCCGCACACATGCCGAGTCTCAAAAGCAATTATGCGCATCCTGTGTAACTCGGGTATTCAATTCTTTAAGGCAGAATAGCCTGGTAGACACTTGTACTTGTTCGTGTTTGTTATCCCGGTTCCTATACTTGATAAAGTTTCGTCCAGACACTTATAGTTGTTCAAAATCGATATTTTAAACCCCTCTAACCATTGACCAAGTCTACGTGGCAACTTAATTGCTGAAGTGGATAAAATACGTGTATTTCACGCATATAAGGAGCGTGGACATAAAAATTTAATGATTAAAATAAGGAAAAAAATAAAAATAAAAGAAAAATACAAAAAATCAAATTAGAAAAAGAAAATGAAGGTGCCTAAGCTCTTTAATGGTGTCTCTGCTTCTCTTAGTTCTGCGGCCCACCAACCCCCCTCCCTTCTCCACGTTACTCCCTTCCCTCATTTTAACCCAACACCCCCAACAACACAGCCCTTCCCTTCACATATGCATCCACCACAGATCCAAAACCTCTACTAGATTAGTAGCAGTTTTTGGGGAATTTTTTTCTCACATCCCTATTCCCTTACTTTGGAAGATAGCCTTTGCAAAGAAAAGAAATAGAAATAGTGGAAGAAGATTGCTTGTGAAACCTATTTTCGATTCGTTTTCATGTAGCAAAATTTCAGATTGTTTTGGGTGATGTTGGTCTTTTGCGTAGTCATTTTTTATGGCAGGTTCTTTTTCTCGTGGTTGATTGGTGATACAACGGTGGAGTGTTGGTTGTGAAGAAGCTTTGTAGGTGAAGGGTGATCTATTTTCGATGACTCTTTAGGTTGACGAATGGATCTGTTTTGATTATTGTTGTTGTGTTTCGCTATTTGGATCTTTAATCGAATTTTGGGGAGGAGACTCAAAGGCTTGTTTGTTGAGAATTTTCGAAATTCCATTGTTGGTCTTGCAAAGAACGAATCTATTGATTTGAAACCTCAAGTTGTTGCTTACATAGTATTAAACTCAGCTGGGTATTGAAATTTAGACTTGAAAATGCAATAAACATTTGTGTTTGAGGATCAAAACTGGAGGGACAAGCAAAGACGCCATTAAAGCTCGCTTGAAGCTTCTGGGTATATTCAGGTTTAGAAGAGAGAACCTACTGTATCTCTTTTCTATGGGTTCCGTATTTTTGTAGGGTAGCCAGTTCTATTTTTCAATAGTTTATTTTCCTATGTGGCACTAGTAATGACGTGGCGTCCTACGTGTAGGAGATTGTATTACACACTGGTAGCTCATGTCATAAGCGTTTATTATACACGATTTGAATGAGTGTAAGTGTTCAATTAGCAAACTGATAAGTTTGTGGACCGGCATGACAAAGTGGCACAAGTATAAGTGCCATTTAGGCTATTCTGCCATTCAATAATACTACTGTTTTCAGCGCAATCTTTATTCTATTGGAGTAAGTCAAATCAGGCTACCCAAGATTGACCAAGCAAAATTGTTTTAATGTGGTGTTGCCTTTATAATTAAGAGAAATATTTGAAAGTGATTTAGAATATCCCAGTATTAACTTTTGTCTACAATTAAGAGAATTAGACATACGGTAAGGTCTGCTTATAACATTGTTAATTGACTTTTGAGGCTTACGACTTACGACTTCTAAAAAAAGTAGTGGCTGAAATTGCTGTCCACTTGCTCTATGTTGTCCTTTGAAGGCTTTAACGACCAGTTTTACTTGAAAGGAATTGTCCTTTTCTTTTCTTCCTCTTTCTCTGTTATGCACCTTTCCGTGTTGTGTAAATTAATATTTTGGTCATATTCACGGGAAAAGGCTTTAATTGCTTTTGGATTTAGAGTTAAAATTTCAATTTTAAGAGTTTTGAAGTTTAGAACGATATCTTTAATTATTAATAATTGGATTCAGAACTGAAATCTCCTATCTGATTCAGTCATAGTTAATGTTAAATCCACCATTACTGAGTGGATATTGAG